TACATCGAGGGACGTGAAGGTGGTCCTCGAACTCGCCGCAGCAGGGACATGCAGCTGAGTCTGCGGAACCCCACCGGACTTTGAACTTCCCTACACCACACATACCCACGACATGCTTTGTGGTCCAACGTTGGACACCTGCCGGAAGGGAGCTCATGGCGCGAGCCAGACTGGTCCAATCGGTCTCCAGCTCTGCCTCTGGTGTAATCGTCTGCCGCTCGTGCCATCGCTTGCGTAGAGCAGGCAGCGCCACAAGTTCCTGGACCTGTTCTGGATTCAATCGCGACTGTTTGACGTCCCCAATGTAAAGGGCAGCCAATTCGGTAAAGAAACGAGCGTTAGGTGCAATCGAGCGGTGTGAAGCCTCAAGCTGGTGGCGATAGGCAACCGCCCACGCATCCACTTCCACATTCCGTTTAGACCACCAAGAGAGGCACGAAAAGGATGTCGCCGTATCGAGGTGACCGTACACGTGGCTAGGTTCCCACGAGGCCCTAGAGCGGGCAAGTGCCTCCCGGATAGAGGAGACCAGGTCAAACTGGGCTTGTTGCGGTGTGACTCGATTGTCACCAAAGGTGTTGAGCAACGCCGAAAATCCATCGCACGCAATCCTAACGCGGGGTGGTGATCAAAGTGTTGGGGCCCACTGATCGAGGAGCCAATCAACAACCATGATACCGGCCAGTAGGCCAATCAGTTCACTCCGGTACGCGCTCTGGTCGTCAGTTAGACCTGGAGTCTGGCACCGGACAAGAATACGTTCCGTGCCACCCATACGTGGAAGCAGTTGAACCGCTGCCGTGCCCAGACCGAGCTTATAAGAACCGTCGCTGATCACACACAACCGGTCTTCGAGTAGGGCTTCAGCAAGGAGGCTTTCGTCGCCATCGATCTCAATTTCTTCAGGGGTCCAGCCAACATACTCGGTCACCCTGGCTGAGGCGGCCATCCAGGCGGCCAGCAAGGACGGTTGAGAGTCGTGATGCGGCTGCAGCGGTACTGTCCCAATGCCGGTGAGGGCTAGAGAACCTAGCGAAGGCGTAATGTGGACGGTAGCTCGGCACAAGTCAGCAGGGAGTGGTTGGTTCCAAAAGGGGGCTGGCAAGAAGCTGACGCCGTTGTCGGTATGCTTGTGATGTGGTCGTTTGCACCCTGACAATTGCGTAGAACGAGGATAGTCCCATTGAATGCTCCGTGTGGAGAAGCTACGGGGACGGTAGCGCTGCCACCCATGGCCCTGGCGGTGGAACAATCCGTGGGTAGAAGACCATAACCAGTTCCAGTTGTCGAGGGGATCGATCCATGGGCCCAGAGGATGACGCAGTAGGCGCTGGGGTCCGTCAGAGACAAGTAGTGCTCGGGTAAGGTGTTCCTGCCACACCTTCCAGTGGTTCCTGTTAGGCCGGACAGTGCGAGGCCATTGATATGACGACCGATGAGCGTAGTCACGTTCCCCATGCCACATGGACTCTCGTATGCTAAGGCCATCCGCCGTCACAATGTCGGAGACGGTGCAAACTTGGAGGAACATACGGCACCAGTTGAGCCACTTTAGAGCGTCCTGATCCACTTCCAACTCCATGAATACCTCAATGAGCAAGGCATCGCCTTTGCACCGGAGAGGGGGGACAGGAGAGTCAAGAGCAACGTAGATATCCAAGTCCTCCAACTCTTTCCAGACTCTTTTGAGCCAAGTATCTGACGCCAAAATTGCCATGTTGCTATAGTCCTGCTGGAAGAGTCCAAAGGAGGTGCCGGTCTCAAGTTGGTGTTCTTGAACCGCAGCCTCCATATACGCCCCAGTTTTGGTTCGGTTGGACAAGTGGCGAAGCAGGACCTCAAGATGTTTAGACACCTGAGTACCAAACGGATGGGGGATGCCCAGACCCTGAAATTTGAGAGGGGCAAGAACCATGTCCCGAGGAAAGTTCCTACATATGCCGGCCTTCGGCAAGCAGACTTGGAGAACAGGACTCATAATTGATACCCATGTCGCCGCATCCAGTGTAGTTAACACCATAGGATGTTCCAGAGATTTCATCACTGTTGTCTTGATAAGGGGAATGACATCGTATTTGTGTAGATGCCCCGATCGCACTTGCTCAGCCCACGTTTTGGTGATACTCTTGAGATGGACGACGTGAGCATGTTGGTCTTCCAATGGGGCCAACATGACCCCCAAGGTTTTCTCTGCCTCATCCGGCTCCAGACGGCGTAAGGCTTCCAATTCGCCAGTCAGTCCCGGTATTTGTAATGGACGATCCGGTAGGAGTTGGTGTGTCCGGCGGAACCTCCATTTGCCCTTTCTGGAGTCCCACACAAAGTCAATCGACCACCAAAAGGACTTTTCTGGATTAATTGCCCCTCCAGTAGCACTAATGCCTCCAGCCCACGTGGAAGCCGCTTGTTGGACGGAGTGGCATATATCCTCGCCAGATTGTTCCACGAACTTGCCTGCTTCGATCACATCCGTGTCGTCGACGAAGCAGAAGCACTGGGCGGTGATTAGTTGAGAATCAATCGCGGTGAGACATTCGAAGCCGAAGCCCATCGCGGTCATCATCCGGATGATGACGGAGCTAACGGAGACCCAAATGGGTGGGCCCGCTCCGTTGCCCTGGCCGCAACCCTGAAATGGTACCATGGAAGGGGGATGAAAGCTCTCTTCAGAGTCACCAAAGCCTGTCCGCACTCGGTGCGTGGACGTTGCGAGAGTGTCAAACATCATGCGCAACGCATTCCAAGTAATCGCCAGGCGCATCATAGCTAACACCGCAACCCAATGGACGACCCGATCAAAACACGACTTTGCGTCATTTGAAATCCACCCCGCAGAGCGGCGCTGAAGAATCAGAAGGTCCCACACAAGACGTTTAGACAGGGCAAGATCAATCGCTTGATGGTGCTTTCTAGACCCGCA